CACTCAGACACTTGGTCCAGCTCCATCAAGGCCCAAAGGATTAAGGGATGATGTCTGCTCTGGATATGGGTAAGTCAGCAATGACTTCTCTCTGCTTGGAATGGTTCTCAAATGCCAGTCCATGGACCAAAGCTACGCTGGCTACTCCAGGACCACTTAGTTCAGACCTTCCAGATCAGAAACTCTTGGTGTAGAGCCAGAGTCTGAATTATAAATTTCTGTCAGATAATTCTACACAATTCTAGAGTCTTATTGTATATAACTTTCAAGATGAAAACATTGTTAATTATAAAATGTTTTTTTTAATGTTAAAAAAATTATAAAATGTTAATTTGATATCGTATTACTTGATGCTTATACTTGAGTACCTGTTTGTAGCTGAAAGCATACGATTCTAAAGAGTGGATAGGAAAAGAGGTAGAGGAAGGGGCAGGGAACGGGAAATTCAACAGGTCCTAAGAATAACACCAGTTATTTAATTTCTATGATTACATTTAAACTTCAATATTTTTAAAAATAGTCATCTCTATGAAAGTAGACATACCAGCTAATCTACTAAAGATATACAATCAATACATATAACTGTATCTAATTATCTATAAGATTTCTACAACTAGATCTTACAACCAAATAGCAATCTAAAGAAAAAATGTAAACATAAAATTCATTCTTTTCTTTTCTTTCTTTCTTAAAGACCTAGGCTAAAATACAGAGAAGAAAAAAAGGACACAGAATGTTGATTTTTACTACAAGTTCTAAGAAGCATGACAGGCAAAAGGATACTTTATTTTGGACTAGTGAGGATATATAACCCCAAAAGAGTATGCATCCCCAAAATTGGCCAAATAAATTATGAAAATCCAACCACTACCAACAAAAAGTACAGAATTAGCATATAATTCCCAGTCATTAAAATTGTCGAGCCAGCTACCTTTATTTGATTTTCTTTATCATTCAGAACTTGTTCTGCATGTATTTTGGAGTCTTCAAATGCGATTTTCTGTTTATTAAGTTCATTCAATTGTTCTTGCCACAAATCAGCATCTTGTACAAGCTAAAATTAAGGGAGGAAAAAACCTCTTATTACACTTATATGTCAGTGAACTTATTTAGACATTAGGGTGTATCATTAAGATCTTACACAACATAACACAGCATAATATGCTTTTAAGTTTGCCTTTTCAGAGAACTTTTCAAACAGAGCCAAAATAATAGTTAAGGTTTTGTGTCAACCTGCCTGGCCCAGGATTCTCAGTGTATTTGCAATTAACTCCTAGTAATCTTACATGATATGATCTAATACAATATAATCATCTTCACATGTCCTATGAGTAGCCTATCAGTTGTAAAAAGATTTGGGTGGGATGTAACATTCTTACTCAGATCACAGCCCTGAGGTAGTCAATTGAAAGGGAGTTTCCTAGAGGGGCCGGCCTGCCACATCCAAAAAGAAGCAAACCAAGAAGGAAAAAGAGAGAGTGC